TCCGGAGCTGCAAGGGGGATATTGGAATGAGGACATAACACGTGGTGTACTGTAATACCTTTCTTCTCATTATCCTTTCTCAATGACAACTCTTGAGTCTTGAGCTTATTATAGTCCTCTTGAAGATCAGTTTTCTTCTTCTCGAACTAGGAGCGATAACATAACTGGGCAGATCAACGAAGACCCAAGAGCCTTACCTCTTCCATTTTTACAATATATCCCTCCGATGCAGCTGACTGCTCTGCAGCCTGCCTATACTCATCGAGAGTGTACTCTTTACTAGGTTTATTCTGCTCAGCGTCTTGTTTTACTGATGTGTACTTCATTGCTGGACAGGTCTCCGGGGTTTGATTCCGCCAAGACCTCCTCCTGGTCATGATCTCCTTAATACCACTATTAAAGGCCACTTTAGGTCGCCTCTCCACCATTTGTACAGCATGATGGTCATTCACAGTACCACCATTGAATTGCAGAGAGTGAAGACAGGCAGACGTGAGGATATCATTGCGCATCTGGAGATCATCCATCCTCCTTTGCCATTCCGCCTCATCCGTTCGATCAATGGATAGCAAAGCCAATGCGGGGTCGCTCGCCCGACGCTTCATCAGTGACGGCCCACGATTGGATGCTGGAATGTTCCCAAGGGACAATCTTCGACAAACTGCTGATTCTAGATTTACAGAGGTAGCAGGAGGACCAGGGAATGTATCCATAAATAAATGATAGCTAGGCAGACATGCTTCTATATCAAGCAATACGCCATTATTATCAGTGGATACTCGCCTCCCCAGATGGCTATTTCGATTCGCATTCTTGCTATGCAACGTAGTATGTGGTGGTCGCCTGAACAGAATGCTAGGTAGAGTATTAGACCTCTAAATCTCCGTTACCAGACCGAATTCATAGCAGTGGATGAGTGTTCCGCAGCTGTCGTTCGTTGATGATAGCCATATCCCTCAGACGACTGCCTCCGTCGCGTTGTTGGCCTGCTGTGTTCCTCTGGCGTGTCATCATCTACTCTAGGCCTCTTCCTGCTCACTAATGATTTGAAGGTATTAGCAATGATGGAGCCCAACCGTCGCCAGGAGGATACTCCACACTTATCATTTCCACCATCAGATAGTATCTTAGCCCTGGGCTGGGGTACTGTCGAGGGCATGGAGTCAAGCAAGCTTCAACATCTACTACAAGTATAGCAAGATCATGATAGACAGTCGAATGATCGATCAGCATGGCGCACGCAACCCAAAAAGAGCATGAGACTAGTACATCTTGTCAATTGAAAGACCCAGGTTCGAATCCTAGTGGAGACATTTCGCAATCTCATCTTATAATTTTCCGCCTATCAAGAGAAGTCATAGTGAGAGGGATTTGTGTATCGGGTAGAGTGTGAAATCATTATCTAGTAGCCAAGAAAGAGTCTCTATCGATGTCTGTCTCAAGTGATGATGACTCGAGTCTTTTCGGCTCATCCTCATCAGACGAGGATGAGCCGGATAGGAAGGAGATTCCCAAGGCTGACACCGAGATGGATAATACGGCAGAGGGAACTGCAGAGGGAACTGCAGAGGGAACTTCAGAGGGAACTGCAGAGGGAACTGCAGAGGGAACTGCAGAGGAAACTGCAGAGGAAACTGCAGAGAAGAAACCCAGTGCCGAACGTACACATGTGGACACCGGTGATGGGGATCTATTCGGGGACGATGAAGGGGTAGTATCACAGGGTCTAGCGTTTAGACTGCGGTATCTCCACGATAACTTATGGTTCCAGTTTCGGAACGTTACCCTCATTGGGCATGTATGTTAGATCGGTGAGGAGCCTGGATTGAATAAGGAACATACCGAATCGAAGGGAAGAACATCATCCAGAGATAGCGACAACTTATTCGGAGAGTCTGATGATGATGATGATGATGATAATAATAAAAAGGATGCTACCAAAGAAAAGGAACAGGGTCGAGAGGTGATGAGGATCGGGGGGGAACCAGAACTCATGCCCGCCGGATTGCAAGAAGCATGATAGTGTCGTGGTGTTGTCAGGATACTGAAGGGGACGATAAGAAAATCGCGGCACCAGCCTCTGAAGAACGGCTAGTCGACGTTGACGCTGACATGAGTGATGCATCTAGCACAGGACTCGGGCCAGGGGGAGAGAGCGGCGAAGATAATAAACCGAGCACTCACAGTGATGACGAGAGTGGATCTGATGAGGATGGAAGTCGGTCACCGATGGCGAAGATCCATACGGTTAAGGTCAGTTGCGAAGCATGTCATATAGAGTTATGTCATGCAGGAGTACATTATAGGTACACGATAGTGCACCTAGTGATGTATTCACTGATGGACGCTGTCATATTGTTAAGCTCATGCCCACTGTTACTGGCATCGATCCGATACCCTTCTCACGCGATACATTCCCAATGCTACACTCAGCTGCCTTGGAGAAGTGTCCTGATGAGAAGAGTAGAGCGGCCATGACTAGTCGGGCTGAGAACTCTATACGATGGCGATTCAAGGAGGGGACTGACAATAAGGAAATAGAATCCAACGCTCGGTAGTGATGAAAATGGCAATATCTCCGCATGCCCCTACTGTGATACGGATTCAGGTTAGTTGAATGGGCAGATGGTAGTCTTACATTGATGGTGGGAAAGGAGTCGTTTAAAGTGCTCAAACGTGACGAGAGGGTGTATATCTTCGACAAGGGGGGTTCCAACCCTCCAGGATTCACTGCTAATGGAGTACCTGTACTGGGATCAATTACCGATATGAGCTGTCATGGGGTACTATAACTCCTACTATCTCAACGCTGTATCATGATGATATGTCATTCCGTAGTTATGTACATCCCAACTAACCGTTACTCCTGGATCCCTCGAGTCCCGAACCCATAAGAACCTCGCACGTTGGGTCATACGACCACATGGGGATAGTCTCAAGGGACAGAAGAAGAAGACTAGTCTAACCACTACTGATGAAGTCCTAGCTGCACAGGCTAAAGCAGAGCAATCACTTGAGGACAGCCGATTTGCATTATCAGCTGGTTCCAGGAGGAGGGATATGCTCGGACGGAGAGGTACTAGTGGAACAGAGGGTTTCGGTATAGGGAGGATTCTGGTGGTCTATATAGGTATGAGTGAGGCGTTCTTGGAATCCGGTATGGGATCCAGTTCACCCAGTGGCGGTGCTCGTGGTATTCATAGCCTAAAACAGCAGTATAAGAAGAGGCGGAGGACTATGAAGGATAGTGATATACCCGATGTTCAACGTGATACTGCTTGAATATGCTATAACCATTTTCTACACTCCATCTCGTGTTGCGCTAGATCATCATCATCATCATCATCATCATCATCATTTGGGGTACCTGGGATCCATCTTTAACTCGAGCCGCTCTAATCTGTTAGTACACTAATATTATGCTTAGAGATGAGGAGATTAGATTCTAATACTGTATTGGTAGTATAGTAGCAGTCACTGCTCAACAGCGGCCTATTCATCTGGCTATCACTCTAGTACCACAGTCGTTTGGTAGCGATATATGATAACCAGGGACTTTCATCACAACCTGTGATCATCCCTTGTAGTGGCAGCATTAAAGTATGTGTTACCGTAAAGAGGCAGTGTTAGGATATATGCACTAGGAGATATCAGATACTCGATGTATCAGTGAGGATTGGTTGTGTAGTGGTGGAGTGGAGATCATGGATATCCGGGTAAAAGGGGCTTGATATAGAGGGAGATGATTATTCCACACCACATACCTCTTATAAGTTACTTTACACGATATCAGTGAGTGTGCGAGGCAACAGGAGTGTAGTGAAAGGATTTTTATACTGTATTCTTCCCAGTTACTACACTCTATGATATTTGTGTGATCACACCTAGCCTCATCACAGTGAGAGTGCCCAACAGCCGCTATCTCTGTACATGCCTTCCGACGTCTGCCTCTCACTGCGGCACATCATAATCATATTCTGTAGTAGGGACGTGTACACTGTGCCGGATCTGCATGCTCTACCCTTCCCTAGATGTGAATACTGCACACGACTATTCATTTAACTTGGCCCCGTCGTTGATGTTTCACTGAGGACCCTCTCCAAATTAGTCATTGTTAGTTAATCACGTTTGAGTTATATGCCTCTCGCCTAGCTACTGCCACTACTCAACTGACGATACATGACCTCCCCTACTTCATCCTCTCCTACACCTGAGCATCTATCACCGCGCCAGATACTTAGGGTGGCCTTAGCAGTATTGGGATGGTATGCTACAAGTATGTCTATCACAGCATTAAACAAGTACTACCTAGTCACTCGATGCTGCTATCCGGCTTATATATGCTCAGATACTTGTTCTCGAACCTCGGTGTCAAATTTCCTCTTATAGTAACCTTCATACATTTCTCAACTACCTCCATTGTCCTTTATCTACTATTTACTCTGTGGCCATCTAAATTCCATAAACCAGTGATATCTACTAAGGAGTATATAAAAGCGTAATAATCCGAGATAACCTCATCTGTGACAGAATATCCCCTCAGGATCGTCCCGATTGCTGTGTGTGCGGCATCAGATATTGGCCTATCTAATCTATCTTATGCCAGGATATCGATTACAGCGATGACTGTTGTGAAGTCAAGTGCAGTAGTTATGACATATCTAGTCGGAGTAATACAGCAGCACCCTCCTTCAGTGTATCTTCAATTATTCAATCCACAGTTACTTTTCGGTATCGAGAAATTTCGATGGACTATTATGTCGTGTGCCCTAACGATCATGATTGCAATATCATCTAGTGTACCCGGTGAGTAGTACTAGACCTGCTATACTTGGTCATTCTGTCTCTTTGAGGTATGCAAGTGGATGACTGGTTCGGCATACTATTTGTAGCACTTGCCGTGCTATGTACAGCATTCCGTTGGGTGTTGGTCCAAACCCAATGCGCCCAATTTAGCGCACTTCAATTGATGTAATAGCCTGGATAGGGCATCCCCGGCCCATGCCTCTTACAGGTACCTCACACAGCCTGTATCGGCTCTTGCCCTCCTACCCTTGGCTATACTACTCGATGTACCTCATCTATCAATACCCATCGACACTTCGGGAGATGAACATCTCGTGAGTAGTGCATTCCCGAAAGAAGACTGTTAGCTCCGTCCAACAGGTGCTGCCTATATGTATCATATGTGCCACGGCAATCCTGGCTTTCCTTTTGCTTTTCGCTGAGTATCGTCTGGTGGAAGTTACCAGCAGTTTAACACTTTGCATTGCAGGCATTGGGAAGGAAGTAGCTACCATAGTAAGAACTCGTTCTTGGTCGTCCTCTCCAACTGATGTCCTCCCAGTTGATGTCTGTGGTACTCTTCGATGATTGGTTATCCCTCCGTCAAACAATGGCTGTAGCGGTATCGATAGTTGGGATAGTTACATACTCCACCTTACGGATAAGGTAATAGGACACCGATTGAGGGCGAGCATCATTCTAAGTCATTCAACAGATATGCCACTGAAGAAGCTGCCCATTTTGAGAGGCTAACAGAGGTTGATGATGATGTCGATGGTGGCTGTGTTACTGCCACCGGCGAGAACCACTTGGATTCGGTAAATCATGTGGCGAGTGGAGAGTCATACTGTTATCATAATACTAATTTGGGAAGCCCTCTTATCAATAGCGAGGGTTGATCGAACGTACCTAATAATATTTAATATTACTCGTCAAATTATTCTGTTCCTCGCTGCCATCCCTATACACATACTGCTCCAATGCTATTCCGAATATTGCGGCGGGGCCGCTACTCTCTAAGTTTATAGTAATAATATTGTATGATATTATTCATACTTATGCTGATGATGATGATGATGCTCGTCGTCAGTCATCATTCGAAGAAGTCCCTTCCTACTCGGCTACCACTACTCCCCGAGACCATAAGGTTCTGCTCTTTGCATCGGCTGAGAGTACAATGTCGTATTATGAGGAGAATGATGAGCTCTATGAAAACGATATCACACTACAACCATCCCCAAGGGATAGTATCCGTCACAGTGATTCATCACAGTCATCACATTCCAGATTGTATGGCTCTCCGTCTGTTCGTACATTAGAACCAGAAATTGTCAGAAAAAGCAGTACTGATCTTACCATGTCTGAGGATGAAAGAAGTTCCGCAGAAACTGTACAAGCAGTGGGACGCGAATGAACAGGGAAGGGGTCTTCATTACGATTACTTGGAATAACTTCAATAGATTTGACACAAACAAACCCCTGTGTGTTGGTATATTCGAGAATCGGTCGGATGGATCGAATTCTGACTGGATATATTTTTTATGAGTTGCGTGAACATTTTCGGAAAGTTTTCGCCTTGTGTTTGGTAAGTGAATACCACCGCATAGCCCTCAGCATTCAGTAGGCTCGCGTGTTGCCCCAATGTTGATCGCCGAGCGGCTCACGAGTATCACTAACTTGTATCGCTAATGGATGAACATCTCTTTTGCTCGTGTGTTATTGGTGTTAAAGGCAGGCGGTTTACAATCGATTCGTGATAATGGGTATAACAGATCGCTTCTTTATTAGACTGGTTCTCTAGCGTGTTCAGTATCGTAGTGCTCATTTGATGAGATCAGAGATATAATCTGGCGTAACAGAAATCAGCCGATAACATTCACTACATGAATCGTTCAAGCTGTCCAAGTAAGTATGAACATTGCCAATACCTGAAAACACTGCCTATATGAGGTAGCTCATCGGGTAGTGCAGAATCACGGATATAGATACCACAGCCAGCCAAATACCAGTAGCAGAACTGCAGAGTCTATTAACATGATTCTCGCAGTGCACATAAACCAACGATGCCCTTACTGCGTGGATGAAGTGGCGTAGTTTTAGTAAAGATGACGGTACTGACGCTACGATGAATGCCGGCCCACTATGTCGGTGGAGGCCACCACTATCTTATTCTGGGTATTCTTGAGAAAATTGCCCACCCATTCTCTCCATCCTCGAGGGATTATCGCTACAGCAAGTTGTAAAACAGCAACTCTCAATGACGAGTGACGAAGTAGATCGTACTGGGCTAAGCCGAAGTAGAGGCTCCACTAGGAAAATGACTCGTATCAGAGGGAGGGGTCAACTGGTTTACCTCTTACCTTTTCAAACATGGACAGGTGTTATGGTTTATGAAGGGAGCAAGGGACAACAATAAGAAGTATGAAATAGTGGGAAACATCTCTATCGTGAAATGGACCATTCGTTTATTCTTCATACCTTGTTGTCACCTGTACCCAGCGCCATGAGTCCACATGATCCTCCTTATGTGCTACCACTATCGCTCCAGTATAGATGAGCCCAAACGTGGTAAGGCATATGACCAAAAACATCCGACCACTGCAGGCAAATGTAGTATGTGACCTGAAAGACACCGATAGATGACAAAAGCAGCGGACTGTGCGCTGCGGACCCAGATATCTCCCTTAGATGCTATCTTCATAGGGAGTAGACTATACCTTTAAGGGGAAGGCACAAGGCGTGCACCAACATAAGTGAATCGTTACACAGCATAATCGATATCGCCGCGACGTATAGTGCGGCACGAGAAGGGATGAATACTATCCCACGAGTCTTTTGGGCCTCCGACAATGGCTCATCGCATCATCCCTTGCATATCGCATTGAGAATTCATCGCAATAACGCAACAGTTCAATCGCTACTGGGAAGGGCTACAGTAAATATGAACAGAACGCTTGGAGTCAGCCTTCGAGGCTATTATCTCTACCTGGAAAGAAGATTGCTAGTCAAGTCTCCTTGTGCCCTGTTTGACTCCGAAATGCCGTGTAGCTGGCAGCACCCGGAGGAGCCCAGCTGAGAATCCTGTCCGCTACCGAAATACCCTCATGGAGTATAGGGCGGGTCCCAATTTAGGACCCACCACATACTCGAATTTGGAACTCCCAAATTGTGTCCAGTGATCCTAATGATGAATACGCAGGTACTACTAGAGTAGGGAATACTCATATGACACGGTGGCAGGGAAAGGGATCGAGATATCGATGAGAGTTGCAGCTACGAGTACCGAGGAGGCGAGGTTGTGCCTGCCAGGCACTGCCTGGTGAGCAGTATGAGAGGAGATCCAAACATAATAACCGCCGAAAGTGTACAGACTATATAACCAAAAGCAGCCGATTGCCCTTGTAGGAATACAAGGATGCCAATCACTGGCCATTTTAATGATGATAACAATGACCGCCAACGCCATACGTGTTCCACCGCATTCTACCTCTCTTGGCGGAATCTGTAAGCTCGGCACTACCTCGCGGGAAGCCGGGTGATGGTATTACCATGCTCAATATAACTATGGTCAACAATGAGTACCAGGGTTACTCAACAGTCTTGCTTGAAGTCTGGAGATAGCAGGAATTAATTAGAAAAACATCGCATGAGTAATGGAGCCTGCATGATCCTATGCACCAGTAGGTGTTCCATTTGCATGGAGACCATAAGCTCTCTTGAATGGGAGAGGATCCTGTTGTTCGCTGCCGATAGATGCTCCTAGTGCTGCTGCTATTGTGTGCTTATTAGCATTGCCAATGTCATCATCGTCACACGGTTGTGCCACGTCCTCTCCATCAGCAAGACATGGCACCAAGGAAGGGCTCAGTGTGGCAGAGGCTGAATGGGCCACCCACAATCCATGCACACCGATAATGCTACTACTACCAGCCCTAGCTCCATGTACCCTAGCCTTCCCTCGGGATTCTACCTGCGATTCTGCCCGGAGACCTCGAGATAAGTTGTCTGGCGGCCGCAGATCACTGAGCAAACTATCCAATGAGAGCGTCTGGAGAAGTTATCACTTGTTGAGAGTGACATGTGAGATGTGTTTGGGTATCGAGCCTCGGTCCTCTACCATGGCGGCTCCTCTGAGACTACTCTCCGTTATGCGAGAATGACGATAAGGCGCCTATGGTCGACAGTGCGGGCTCGGCTCCATCGACTCCACTACCTCAGCTGAGTAGGGTACACAGCCGTCTGTCATTGAAACTGCTACAGCCTTCCTTGCCATATGTCGTCGCTCTCTCCGACCTGCTTCTCCATCACCCTCCGCAGGCATCATGCCACCCAGGGGTAAGGAGCTCTCTGTCATCCTCGATGAGCGAGGTCTGATGTACAGGCATGTTGGGCGAGCTTTAGGAGTAAATACCTCATGTTTGAAGGCCCGCGAGCATTCAGCTGTTGTTGTTCCTGTCTAGCCATATGATTGAGCATTCTCGATTCCATGTCATTCCTGGGGCCTGGCCTGCATCCATTAGGAACACCTATTTGAGGGCTATAATGGGACCATGATGAAACCATGACTAATGAGAAGAGCTGCTCCACATCACTACTCGTGGATCCAACTTTGAGTACGGTTCATACACCTTTCGATGGACCTCACCTGCATTTAGTGAGGGGGGCAGTTATGCCACTGAGAGAAATCCTCAATCTCATTTAATTTCTCCGATAGCAATGCCGCCCAAGAATACACTCAAGTTAATTTCTCTCGTGCCGCAGCTATGCCACCCCGAAATATACTTTAATACAGCTAATCTCTCCCATGGGGCGGCTATGCCACCCCGCGATATACTTCAATACAACCAATCTCTCCCATGGGGCGGCTATGTCACCCCGAGATATACTTCAATACAACTAATCTCTCCCATGGGGCGGCTATGTCACCCCGAGATATACTTCAATACAACTAATCTCTCCCATGGGGCGGCTATGCCACCCCGAAATACACTTCAATACAGCTAATTTCTCCCATGGGGCGGCTATGCCACCCAATACAGCTGATCTCTCCCATGGGGCAGCTATGCCACCACGAAACATACTTCAATACAGGTTATATGAGCGATACGACTAGAGAATATAACGAACTGGTTGCTCGTAGCCCAACCTCTCTGGGGAGAATATACGTATGAACTACGTGCATTATGCGCTGTAAATCGATCGATCAATCGATTTTATGCCGAGAGCTGCATAAAATAATCTGAGGTCATAGTTGCCAATAGCAAACTCATATCATCATGTCTGACATCGACGCTGCTGAGGAAATCGACCAGCCCATCGAGGTAGTCGTGGAGGCAGCAGATTGATGGAGGAAGGCAGTATATCATCATTTTTCAGGTCGAGGAGGCAGTCACGGATCTTAACTCTGCCATCCGTCGTGTTCTCAAGAACGCCATCGCCGTTGATGGTCTCGTCAGGGGCCTCCACGAGACCGCCAAGGCCTTGGAAGCAGGTCGCGCTAATGTAATACACGGATCTCTCCGGATGTGTTGCATGTATACTTCCGCTCTTCATCTGTTTTGATAAATTCTGTCAACAACTGGTTATTGTTGGCTCATGTATCTCCATCTTCAGGTGTGCTTCCTTGCTTCTTCCTGTAACGAGGATAACTACAAGAAGCTCATTCAGGCCCTCTGCCTTGAGCAGAACGTCCCTCTGATCGAGGTTCCAGACAACAAGCAGCTGGGCGAGTGGGCCGGTCTATGCAAGATCGATAAGGATGGCAACCCTCGCAAGGTTGTTGGTGCCTCTGTTGTCGCCGTCACCAACTATGGTGATGAGGATAACGAGGGACTTAGGTTCCTTAACAACCACATTGCTTCCCAGTAATGTTGCTGCCTAGCAATAATGGCTATGAAGGCGCTCCACGACGGCAGTTTCTAATTGTCCTAGTCGTATTACGACGTTGAGTCAGATATTGATGTGGCAAGGCAAGCTTGTTGTGTTGTTATATGCATTTCGAAGTGGTAACTTGATATGTTTTTACACCAGACCTCTAATGCAAGTTTGTGATTGCCATGTTTGTTATGGCCATTCGTGTGCGGCTCCACGTATCACCATGGCGTTTGCGTGCCAATCGAGAATGCGTGAAGTGACACGCGTGCAGTTGTACCCGCTCATTGCGAATCACTCCTATCTGTCTCGTTCCGGCTAATATCGCGTTATTTCGAATCAATGGAGATTCGTCTTCGTCGTTGTATATCAGCAGTAACATCAGTTTTCGGATATTGTGATCCAATCATGTTTGGCGGGAGCAAATCATCTTCACTCCTCTCCTATTCATTCTTGTTGCTGCTGTCTCTCAGCATGAATCTGTCTGAGGGGATAATTCTCAAGGGAGTGGTGTCGTTGGACCCTTTGACCTTTGACAAGGTACTATAGACACAGCAGCAGCAACTCTACACTCAGCGTTCAATTGGCATACACTCATTCAGGTGATATCGAGTAATCAGCATCATGTCCTTGTACGTTTCGATGCGGAGGCGACTGATGGGGCCAACGAGATCCTGTTTGGAGAAATCGCTCAAGTATCAGTGAAAAGAACCTATAGTCCACCCGCGGGCCAGACCCAACTTCCAATATAAGTCATATGTCAGGCTTCTGCTAAGGGCAAGAATCTATTGACCGCTGAAGTTAAACTCGAGAAAGAAGGCAGGTCCCCTGAGTTGCTGGAATTGGCTAAGAGCTATAGTGAGATAAACAGTCCTACATCATTCTTTATAATACCGGATGTAGATGCCGAAAACGTACCCGTTTTTATCCTCTTCTTTGACGGTAAGGAGGTATCGAGGTATAGAGATGGGAACACCTTAACGGATAAGACCAAATTGATTGAGTGGCTCACGAATAACGGTATAGAACTGACGGTGATGGGGGCTACTCTACCTTACTTCAATGTAAGTTGCTGGTGACTACCCAATACGCTCAATGGATGTTGTTCAGCGGCTTTTTGGTGAGTACTTCTCCAGCCAATCGAGCGATAAAAGAGCTGAGCTGTTGAAAAAAGCACAAGAAGCCGCATTATCCGACGAGTTCAAAGAGCATGACCTGGTCAAGGTGAGGATCTAAAATTGTTGTAGGCTGTTATATACGTGGTGTAAACGTCATCAGTTTTTCCCGACGATTCTCGAGAAGGCCTCTGTGAAGGGAGACGACTACTGCTCCAAGGAGATCGAAAGGGTCTCCTCCATGCTGGAGAAAAAGAAGGATTCCATCAACAAAGACAAACGCGCTGAAATGACGAAGAAGTTGAAAGTAAACAGCATCTATAAGAACTCTCTCTTAGTTTTCCATCACGCATCTCATTTATCATTCTGTTATGACGTGCGTCCATAGGTACTGGAGGTCTGTAAGGAGGCGGTGGAAAATGCTTCTAAGGCCAGTGAGGAACTGTGATCGTCAAATCATGATGGCTGACTCGGCATACATGATGCCTTTGTTGCAATCATAGTGTGGACCGTCGCTTGAGGGAATTTCGCCGCCCCCTTATTTTTTATAGTTTCATTCGACCTCGACAGGTTATATTACATCGAGTTATTATCCACATCCTTCGCTGTTGTATGTGTGTCAATGATTGGAAGTGCTGAGCTAGTGTTAGCGGCCTGATCACAGCCATGATATACTCGAACTGTGGACATATTTATGCATGCGAGACAATATCTCCTCCGAAGAGTGCTTCAGAACCTCATCGGTTCTTTTGCAGGCGTACAAGTCTGTGGTTGATGAGTATTTCGAGACCGTTTTTCGAGATTCCGAAGAACGGTCGTATATTCCGTCATAGGCAACGCAGTTGACCAAAACCTCACTCGTCCAATTCATCGGGATATGGTCTCGAGGCACTCACTCGCCGCCGAATACTACGATAACGTAAAACGTTTCACACTCCTCACTGGAGAGAGTACAAAATCATGAATAGTCCTTCGTCTGCCAGGTTTCCCATACCTCGAATAGCCCGTATCCTCTAGGATTGGTGAGGCTACACTTCGCGGTATGTTCTATCAATACTCGACACGGTACTCATACTAACTGTTCACGACCATCCCTCGAGCCTCTCTCACAGCTCTATTACTTGTCTCGACGTTATATTCTTTTGAGGGAATGGAAGTGGTGAGGATCCCTACTGCAAAGCCCTAACACTGCCCAAGCTCCCCTGCCATCTTTTAAACCTGGGTTTTGTATGGGAATGCCTGTTCCTTGGCCACTACTACCGTATGTAATTTTCCTTAGTTTCAGGTCGTCAACTCCAGCGCTGACAACAGCAGCATAGAGATGGGCGAGTTGTAGGTTGGGTGGGGGTCTTCCAGGAGAGTGGTTTGATAGGGAATCGATAATCATCCCTAACTGGGGACGTTGTTGCACAGCAAAGTGGCGTACTGAGAGTATCCATTACTCGAAGACGTGTCGCTGATTGGGGAGCATACAAGCTAATAGCAGCCCCTAACATAATCCTGGTCGATCCTCTCTGCATTGCGGTTTAGCCGTGGTGATCATAGAGGTAACGCGCATGATTGTCATCACCTCAAAGAGCATGTGGTAACTTTCGAAGCCTCAGGCAGGAGTGCTGAGGTGTGGACAAATCATGATGCTTGCATCGAGATTCTCGATTCGAGGACTGTTCCTTATGAGTCTTCACATCCCTCTATCTGTATACCTCGAAATGTATACCTCTTGTGATCGTTTCCTAACTGCTGCTCGAAACTTGTGGGAGTCATTGCGTATGGTTATTGGGATAGTCGTGATGCGCAGGGATGGTAGACTACCATTGGTAGTATCCCCAATCTGTCTTGGATAGTTGGTTAATCCAACCATGGAGAGTTATCGGAGAGAGTACCCTCGCCACCATGAGCTGATCTATCAGGATTACCGTAGATTGTATCAGCCCTCCTTAACCACCTCATATCATCTGTCTACTCCCTTCACGGTTATGCTGCTTGATACGACTACTGATGTAACACTTTCTTAGTACTGCTATAAATAACGGAGCTTCCTCCTCGCGTTCCTACGTGGAACAGGGTAGCCTTCGGATAGTAGCGGCTATATCATAGTCTTACCATTACTCTGAGTGGGTGGAGAGGAATATCGGTATTCTGAGGCGCACCGGGAAAGGTTTAGATTCCCCATAGAATAGCTAGCGGCTGGGCTTAGCATCCATTATAGGTTCTGTCTAGTCCTGCCTTCCATAAGTTCCTCTCTGCCTTCACCAATACTAACGATACTGTCCTCTGTTAGGTATGTGGATGAACGGCGTCATTGGATTGCGGACTAGAGTTTTCGTTCGTCTCAACATTGGCAGAGTACAAGAATCTCTCCAGCACTTGCCGTATTAGGCAGCAGCAGAACATGCGACAACCAATCGAATAGTTCGAAATTCGAACTTCATGCTAATTTGAAATCGATTCGAACTTCGAATCGACTTCAAATTATCATGGCTCCTCTTCGTAAACTGCCACACCTCCTCATCTCACATTACTCTCTAGCTTGCTTTCATCGACACTGCTGTTATTCGTAGTTGCGTGTAGTCCTGACAAAAGTGATAACCTAAGCGTGAGTGAAGGATGCCAAGCTATCTCCAGTTAATCAATGCCTATTGCTGCTTCTGCAGCCAATGCCTCTAACCCTCCTCTTGAGCTGTCACTACCACCCAGTGTTACAGGCCCTGTTTATGGTGTCCTATCGCTGGATCTACACGAGGTGATATTACATGAGTTAACGCAACAAGTGGATGGAGGGACGAAGGATGATCCTCCTGGTGCTGATGACAATACTGCTGCGAAGTTCCGTGTTGTCTGGTGGGGTGACCCAGCGGCAAAGCACGCCCTGAGCACACAGCCGTTATTAACGTGAGTCTGCATGCTGTTCCTTCCTCAGACAATACTATCATCAGGCCTGCCAACACAGCAACGCCCTTCGATAAGTCAAGTATAGCTTACAACATCCGCTGTACCCCGCCTAAATTCCTAAAGTATCTCAATGGTGAGTTTCTTCATCAACTCTAGTGCACTGTCATGCTTTTATGGAAGCTCCTGTCTACCCTCGTATAACCACCACTGTTCAGATGCTCGCTCAGTCTCCTTGCGAACGGTGGCCTCACCAGCAGATCACAACCGAGCAGTTGAAACCTGCAAACTTCCCCTCCAGCCGGCTGTAGCAGAAGCAAGAGCGGGCGGGACTATGGCAGTGCGGATTGAGGGGTGATCGACATTCCAGGAGCCTCTGTGTGTTGATTACTGCCGCTCCTCTCCCTCCTGTGACCCCCAACTTTACCTATATTACGATCCTTCACAGTGTCAGTGATCATTGCCGCAGGTGCTTCCCCCTCCATACTTCTCATGGAGAGGGTAGTACTCGAAAGCTACGCGTGAAGTTGAGCGTGCTGTGGAAGACCAGTGCACCGCATCAGTTCCCCGTCATCATTCGTCCGCCACCATCCACAGGTGAATCAGCGGCCTGTACGGCCAATAAGTACGAAGGCTGTCCATACAAACCGCGATTGACGGCGGCTTATTCAGAGTACCCCCTGCATGCAGCTCGCGAACACTATCACCGCCGCCGCCGCCTCCATCGCATACCAGTGGTGGGATATCGTCAGCTACACCGTCATATGGTAACTTCCTCGAGGCTAACTATGGGGTATATACAACGGTTCAATGATTTACTTCATTAGCTCGACCGTCAGGATGCTCACCCATCATCCAGGCAATATCCCACCACAACATATCGTCCACCTCCCCCTGTGATGGAGCTCTCGGCACCGTCCCCGACCTATCCCTTTGGGCCGACTCCATCGCCCTATTCAAGGTTCATCTCCCCAGCAGCTACAGTAGATGGGCCCACTCCATCCACTAATAATGGACCTTATGATGGATCAATGCTCTCTCGACAGAGTGAGCCACCCCACCTCTGCTCATTCAGACTGAACCTCGCTTATCTAGATTCAGGAGCGAGCCTACCAGATCCATCACAGATAGGGCATCCAGCTCATCAGCCCTCTCCACAAAGGGCATCTAGACCTCCTGCTGCTGCTGTTCCAAATGCCCCGGTCTCTCGTACCAAGACCAGCGACAACGACAAACCGGACACTTGCCTATCTACAGCTCTGCAACTGGCCGCAGTCTACTCTGAGCCTTTTGGGTTCCTACCATCCTCTTCTGGAATTCGTCCATCCGACCGTCATTGGGCTGACCTCCTCGCTGCGGACCCCATGTTTGAGGGAGCACGCAGTGGGGCATCGGCAGAGATCGATACAGCAGGGAAATATGATAGTCGTTGGAAGCAGCAACAGCACCCGCAGGAGTATCGCCCAGACACTCCGAAGGACACCGGAGGCTCGAAGGTGGGATAAACCCTACAGCTCGATGATTCTTAGCCTGGTCCCCCTGTTAACGGTTTGAAAGCCAGGTAACGCCAAGTTCGGAGAGTCGTACGGGGCGGCGGCGGCGGCGGCCTCGACCACGGGAGAGATCGGTGGATAGGTCGGCAAAGAAGAAGACCTCATCAGGGCCGATGGGTACTGTAGCATCTATCCCCACTATCTCGGATGATGATATATGGGTATACATGGCCGTGCAGTCTCTGACTCCAGCGGACGGAGGACCTCCTTTACCTAAGGACTTGATTGTCCGATTGAAAGGTGGTGGTGGTGATAGTGATGGTACAGCCACTCAAGAGTTACATACATCCCCTCGAGATGGTTATGGATACTATGGAGATGCAGAGCTCTGTGACCTCGCTATTATCAGCAGCTCATTGGTAGTGTCAGAGAATAAACCAGAATCGGGCGGTATCGGTCAACAGCCTAAAGTACAGGCGGCAGTGGAGCTCTGGCAGGGCGAGTATCAGCTGTAGGATACTCTCCTTCTCCTAGGGCTCTCCCACATCGATACTTCAGGTACGGTGTTGGGCGTGTATCTTTAGACCTAGGCCCCCGGGACTTGGCAGCATTATCCCATAATGCACTCGTCCGCATGGAGGCTTTAGTGGACTGTGTATCAGGATGGAGTGGTGCAGTAAGGGCTGGATAATCCCACTCCTCCTCCATTCAATTATTATTATTACAGATCTTGGCAACATGTCAGCTGCTTGTTGATATATCAACTAATAGACGCCCTCTAGAAGGTGCTCTCTCCGCCAGACAGAAGCGATGCCAATCGATCAAGAGGCGACAAGATCGAGAGGATCAGCCTCCTGCACACCACCACCAACCGGATGTAGCTGCCGATCCCGCTCCCAAGTCACTCGCCTCCTCCCTCATCCGCTTGGAAGATGGGCGTCCTCGCCCGGAGCCGCCCCCCGCACGGATCATGGATTCGACTGTGCCGGTGAGAAATATGCACATTCATCTTGGTCGCTCCTACACTCGCTGGAGGATCCTGTTATCGCAAGATTGGATCAATCGTACAGAAGCATTTCGGGCATATATATAGGGGTCCGTAATAATGCCTGCATCCGGGTTCGGGTTGTATTCGGGGATGATACATCCATGAGATACATGAATCCTCACACCGGAATACTGCGAGTTCCTCCTGTCAGCGTTGCATCTTTTTAGTCAACTGCTTCAGGAACACCAAAGTGGCATCAAGTCGAATGAGATGAGCCATCATGAAGCAGGGGATGAGGTTGTAGAGATAGAAACGTCACCTCTTGAAGCAGTGAGCCAGTCCACTCTAACACACCTTCCATAGTCCCCGTCTAGGGTGTCAGGAGTCCATCTCATTATATTTCAGGACGCTCCGACTGCCTCTACCCACACTGAAGTTGCTTTTGATATCGATTATGACGGCATGTCGACTAGCGGTAGTGTGGTGAATGTACATTGGGAGTTCGAGTGACTGGGGGTCCACGTGCCTAGATACGCTTACTCTTGCGCGTGCCTTAAACCTCATGGGTGAGAGAGTGAAACATCTCACGAGTAGTGGAGCTCGATACACGGAAGCCGCGGATGGAGCTGATGAGCTTCGGGCGCCTACTTCGCGGGATGAATCCCAGGATACCGCAGCTAGTGCTTTCACAGAGGCGAGCTCTTCCCAGGTGAGTCTGTCCGCACAGACGAGTTATAGCTGCTATCACCAAATTCAGAACAATCCTTGTGTTACACAGACTATCCACATCAAGCCCGGTGGAGGGTTAGAAGCGGAAACTCAATCCAGTGATCGTCGTGCTTCCAATCGACAGGAACCGGAAGCCACTGTACAAAATGCTGATGTCATCAGTGACGGCACCCCTGATGGGGTGAGGCAATCTCGTCGCTATTCTGGCGCCTTCGCTTGGATCATCGTGAGCTCTTCACTGACTTTCAGAGTAGAAGGACAGAGACTGGGCGTGATGGAGACTGTAGCACTACTTTGAACTATGTCGGACCGCCTTTGGATGCAGTGCCTACGAGCGACACTCCAGCTGTATTACTATGAACATCGTGGTAATGCGCCAGGCCCTCACTTTGGTTTAACCAGGTCGGTGCGAGCGTCGAGTCAGCTATAATACGAGTGGGAGGAATAGGGGTTGGGCCTGTCGTAGATGATGAGCCATTCTCGGGGGAGGTGAGATCACCTCTTCCTTGATCCCTTGCTCATCGTGCTTTGCTGTAGAGGGAGTTCATGTTACACCCCGGCTCGAAGGGTAATGCTACTAATATTGACTATAAACGTGTACCATACGCCGGTAGCATGCTCATCTATGCCAAGCTTCGTAACGTTACAAACCCAGATGTTCAAACCTTGCTCCGTGTCCTCACCCTTATGGACGAGAAAGTGAGGTACCTCGCTAATAGAGACGATACCGCGGAGGTCATTGATGGAGGGGAAGTGAGATAAGCTCTCCAAGGTTGGTATGACTATTACGCCTCGTCAGATAGCATCCGCAGTTCCTATTACCTTGGGACCAATTACAGAGGATACTATACCAACGATGATAGGGTATGAACGGCCAAATTCATCGCAGTGTGAGCTACCTGACCATTCCAGCGGAGTAAGCAATGAGGTGTGCTGAGTGTGGTCGAGCAAACAAGGCAGGAGGGACCGTCCTCATCGTTGGTCAGAATGATCAAGGTGAGGACCAAGGGGTTCCTGTTGGAAAGGAGGAGGGAGGCTCAGAGATCCAGGACGGACATCCCTCTATCGAGAGGACGCAATGCGACAGGCGACAAATTGTGCATGTTGACGGAGTTATGGACGATACTTCGGTATGGTGGAGGTATGATGTTGAGGTGAGTGGTCTTCCCCTCTGTAGTGCATAGAAGGTAGCTGTCGTACTCTCGCACACGAGGATGTATGTGGTGGTAACAGTACAGTAAAGAGGATTAATGTACGCGAATCTATTAGAATAAGGTATTCGCCCCTTCTCAGGACCTTACTAGAAGCATAGCTGAGTTAGAGGCATCTACCGTTAACCGGAATACCCCTACCCCACCTGGGATGGAGGAGCATGTGGTGGGTTGTGTGGGGTGTAGCTCTCAGTTGATGCCCTGTATAGGAAGTAGTCCACTATGCGGTAGCCCGACCTGGGTCATTCACTCCACCGCCACCCTCGGATAATGTGGTAGAGGGCGATGTGGTAGCAGCAGTAGAGGAAAAGACATCCCCTTCATCAACGGCGATGCTTCAATCCACCATCGTTAATCCACCACAAGAGAGTCGGGAGCTCCACCTACCAGCAGCCGTAGGGGATAGTCATGGAATGGTGAATATCACGCCAATAAATAACGTGACTTATCGTCTCAGATGGTCCCCGAGTCGTCACCGACAAGGATGGTGGATGAGGAGATCTCCAACCCGAACTCATCCTTACAGGAGGTTAGATGAGCACTTTGTTGAGATGGTTATCCAAACTACCAGCATTCCCACGTCCAAGTGCAAACGTCCCCAACGATACTCCAAATGGAAGTTGGTGTGGATAGCGAAGGGGGGCACAGTTGGCTAGAGGAGGATGACACTCCCACAATGCGGGATATCTCCGTGTCACCAGAGCTCGTACTGGAACCAGTAGTGAAGAGCCCGAGGGAGGTGAGGGAAGCATACTTGATGGAGACCCAACAAAGCAGCAACAAGGCAGTAAGATGGGCACACGAGAAGGGCTCATTCCCGGTTCGCAGGTAACAGCCATTGTGAATCACTCGCCACCATCATCACCACCTCGACCATCACCGACACCAGTGGTGGATATGGAAGCGGTACTGCAGTTAACAGTGAGTCCCATCCTACAATGCAGCATATAGTATGAGATGTTGTGCCTCCATGGTCAGAAGCTGAACGATCGCATTGCCCATCTCGAGGTCACGGCCAATGAGGTCGCCGCGAAGTATAAGGAAGCGGAATCGCGCCTTCTACTACGCCACGTAGGCGTCCGTCTACTCTAAATCCCTCACTCTACTGCTCGATGCAGGGCTACCCCCCGGCTCTGGGCCAACCACCTCACCACCCCCTCCCGTCTGAGTCTTGGATACCTTTATCGGATAAACGACCTGCTGGGTATGGCATTGTGGATAGCCGTGGATGGAGTTCTAATCAGCTAGCGGTTGCTGGTATCCCACAGGTCTCCTGCTATCACATGTGCCCCCCCCCGGTAGCTGTCAGGGCTTCAGGATCGGGAGAAACCTCGAGTAGATCACGAACCTGGAGTCAGCTTCAATCCTAGGCACGATAAGTGTCCTCAGCTGCGACCTATTCCCCAGCCACTTCCTTTGAACAGAGGGGCATTAAGTCCTACTGGGGTGAGAACAAGGGGGAATACTCGGGGAGATGTTGATGTTAGGCGAAGTTTGCAAGATGTCATACGAAGACTCCCGTGTCTGTTCGCCTCGAAATGAGAAGATCTCTTGTCCGAGATACCAAACGTGTTGCAGCGATCCTGCGAGGGAGGCAAAGGATGTTGGCAACGGATGATGATGATGATGATGATGATGATGATGATGATACGGACTAATATCCCAAACATAATGCATGAATAGCAGCCGCACTGCGGCCTTTCATCATATTGGGCGTATTGTATTGCGTTCGGCCCATCAATATGAACATCTGTGCCTATACCTCACACGGACTATGCCTTCTGCAGTCCCTAGTTCGATTGTGCCGCTCCAACTTATTCCTCATCACGGTACAATCCCTGTTCCTTTGTACCACTGCTCTTCGACTTCAGATGGGTGTTGTTACTTGTCGCTCGTCCCCACCGTACTAACTGACAACCATTTTGTATGTTCACTTTACGCCGAACACGTACTTGCAACACCACACGATACCACAATCGGGAAAGCTTCATATGTGTTAACTCAATCTTATCATTCCAATTCCTAGTTCTTCTTGTTCAGTCGGTGTCGGCGAATGAGAGTAGTGAGCCTCGCTGCCACCACCCATAACGTGAGGACGAAGAGGGATATCCAAAAGTTGCGCTCATGATGCCACCTATCAATGTCACTGCAAGAATACTGATGATAAGAGCGGCAGAGAGCAGTGGCCTCACCTCTGCAACTTGAACTTGTCAGAAAGCTCCACTGAGGGGAAATCCCCCTGTCTTGCAGCTGCTTCCTGCAACTTCATGATCTCGGAGAATAGGAAAAATGCGGACTGAAGGACGAGTGTAAACGACAAGCGTCATTCCCAATTGACTTACTATCCCAGCGAAAAAGTTGAGACAGCCAAACTCGATCCTTCCTATCTTCACTGTTATGCGAGACACTCCTTGAGCAAGGCGCTCGAAGAAAGGCAGACCCGACAAGAGGAGCATGCAGAGGAACGCCTGCGGATACCACATCATAGTAGTCAGGAGGGCATCCACCTACCCCGGAAGGCATGAAGATGTAGGCAAATGTGTTCCAAACTGGTGAGCTCATCGATGGAGTGTAAAAATCAACTTTTGAAACCAGTAGTAATGCAATGGAGAGAGAACAGCTCAAATCGACATCATCACGCGGAGGTGCCCCAGGAAGGCTACCACACTTATCATCATCGGAGCTATAACAGGCAATTACTAGCACTTATTAACTGCTTGCGATGAAATCATCGACGTGAGCCTTGTGTATATCGATATCAACCCTCCCAGTCCTCCTCCTTCCTCTTCCCTCTCAGCGTTACGTTGCGGAATCTCTCCTGCTCAGGCCTTGGAAAATCAGTCACTTCTGCCTCCTGCCTCGATTTTGGCTTGACTCTGAATCGAATCAGGCGAATAGTGAAAATGACCGCGTGCCTAAGTTTTGGTAATGAGTTTTTCAAGCGAAATTCTTTCCTTCTCAATACCCTCCTTATTCGTCAGCAATGAGGCTATCCTCTTCCACGGCCAGCCTACTCCTGCTGCGCCTCAGTTCTTGGCTCGCGTGAAATCCAGTGAAGGTGGTTGCTTTTGTTGTTGTTGGTGTGAACTAATGTAACATAACACTGCATGGGGCATGACGATGAAACCAGCTGTATTGACTGTGATGGTTGTAGAGATACAAGTAACGTAATGGTGATGGATTGATGGTGGACGGCAACGGAGCAAGCGACGACACTTCCTATGACTGCCTTGGCAACCATCACCATGCTCGATAGCATCGAAAAGGATGGTGACGATAGAGTACATATAGCAGTTGGTAGTTGATACATTGTGATGATGATGACGTGATTGTTGTTGTTGCTGCTGTTCTCAACGACGATCCCTCTTAAAGCCCATCTTGCCAGAGAATAGATGCTTAGGCTTCTTCTCGGGGATATGATGATCTCCTTCTCCCTTCTTAGCATCTCTAGCCAACCTCCTCTGCTTCTGCCTCTTGATAACCTCAGCAG